GTCACGTACGGCATCGCTCACTTACGGCGATGAAAACATGCGTTTGTATTTCCACGTGCACCAAGCATGCCTATTTTGGTCGTAATCCAGAACCGAAACCAATTTTCCCGCGATGTCTGGTTGCCGTTCTCGACAAACATCCAAAATAATATAAACTAAACGGAACATTGCATTTATTACTATTATATTATATTACAATTTTACTTTGTGCAGTTTGTAGAAGTTAGTGAATTTAATATCACGAAAAATTTAAACACTCATCAACGTGAACTGGCAATCATGGCAACGCCCCGAATCTTTCCGAACTTTTTCCGAATCGCTTGAGATTCCGCTGCTCTTCCGAATCTTTCCGAATCTTCAGATTCGGCTCCGAATCTCGATTCGGATAAAGATTCGTCCCATCACTACTCCCAAGTATGCCTTCAGTGAAAAGTAAAAACAAGAAAAGAACTCACGATTATAAAAATTGAAAAGTTCTCACCCTGCCATGCCGTCAAAGTCAATCGCTGTGGTCCATGCTCCCGTAGTCAACTTTTCAAAAACTCAAATATGGACACTTTCACATCCGCTGTATCCCAACTGTACTATCAGTTTTCCGCCAAAGCGCGGATGTACAACATTTGTACGGAATGACAGCACCGACAATCGAAAGCAACGTTCGCACAAGGCGTGACCACTATAGCGCGACGGTTGTGTGTTGTGTTCTTGTATCCCAAAATGTGCTCGATCTCACTCGAGAGTTAAACTAGCCGAATGCAGCTAACGGAGTTTTCGGTTGGGCCGATAGGAGCGCCGCGTCGCTGGCTTCTCTCTCGTACGTCCATCCAAAGAGCAGATTCGTTGGTCTACCCAGGCAACTCACACCAGACTGTTATGCTTATATTCGCCGCTGTGGTTTTGAGCACTGGCGTCGTGTATATGATCCTTGCGACCTAAACCGAAGCACTCTGGGCTCTTCCGACCAACCATCAGTAAGGGCGAGGGCAAACGACAGTTTTTCTTTTTTATGGTTGCGTTGCGTTCGTCATTCAAAGCTTTCAAACCCTTCCGGGCATGTTAAAATCAAAAGTGCAGATTTTACGGCATTACGGAGTACAGCAGTACAGAGCTGCGCGGCTGCGCGCAGGTAATGATTATAGAGACGTCTTTACAGGGTGATTCAAGCACAGGCCACGCTCTTAATCGACCCCAAAATTCGGTTTCTTAACCTATCGCGCTACGACTTTGTGCAGCGTTGCCCACAGATGGTGCATTTTTTTTTTTGTAAAATTTACAAAGAGCGAGCTTACCTGAGGAAAAAGTAAAGAAAGAAAAAGGCTTAGCTCCTATGGAAACGCAGCGATGCCACAGGTCTTCAAGCAACATGACGCCGTTTCGCACGGGAGACAAGAGATGGCGCGAGCGGTCGCGACGCCAACTGCCGCCAACGAACGAGCATACGACGCCGAGAGCCGGCGCCTTTAGCAGACAAGGAACTGCAGTTCTTTGTTGTTACCGTGCCTGTTTTTGTTTCTGCGACTGTCGCCGCCAGCGGAACGCGCGCTGCTTTTGAGTCGAAAAGATTGTCTGCTAAAGACGCCGGCTCTCGGCGCCGTATGCTCATTCGTTGGCGGCGTTCGTTGCGCCATCTCTTGTCTCCCGTGCGAAACGGTGCCGTGTTGTTTGAAGACCGGTGGCGTCGCTGCGTTTCCATAGGAGCTAAGCCTTTTTTTTTCTTTACTTTTTTCTCAGGCAAGTTCGCTCGTTGCAAAATTTACAAAAAACAAATGCACCATCTGTGGGCAACGCTGCACAAAGTCGTAGCGCGTATGGTTAAGAAACCGAAGTTTGCGGTTGATTTAAAGAACCTGGCCTCTTCTTGAATCACCCTGCAGTTTGACAGAGATTCTGCCGAGTGTGTTGCGTGCCTCATGACGGCGTATTACGGAGACTACTGCGGGGAGAAGTGGTGAGCCTTTATATCAAACGTTTTTTTTTTGTCAGCATTCGAAACTAGAAGCTTTGAAATATGTAATCTTTCTCAACATTTCTATTACAGCATCGAAATGGATTAGGTATGCAAATCGCCAGGACTTTGGAAGCCTGCCGACGAGCAAACTTTGCCAACGTCGTTTGTGCAGCGAGCACTTCGGCGCTACAGTGTTGGCAAGCTGTAGGAAGATTCGTTTGCGGAAAAACGCGTGCCCCACCGTTCTTGTGACGAATCCGTTGCTGTAAGGACTTGTTCCTCCAGGTGAGTTGCTGTTAGAGCAATCTTCAGTTAATTTGACAGCTTCGTGTTTATATATTAGGATAGAGTACCGAAAAGCACCTACGGACAGATATATAGTCACTCCAAAACATTAGTTGTTTTTTTTCTTCTTTGCGGTGTCAATTAGCGAGTTTGTTTGTTTATCGTTTATTCTCAAGCAGCTCGCCTGTAACCCTGCATTAATCAACTTAAAATTCAAGCCTTTTGCTTTATTTCGGAGTTGATTTGTTTGTCTGGCTATTTAGCATTTTTGTTTGTAGGAATTTCTTATAGAGTCATTTAGATAATAAGTGCTGTTCTGATAGTTTGAACATTAATGTAATTAATTTAGTTTTACATATTTGACAGCGTTTACTGCCTACTAGTTCTTGGTTCCCCTTGGAGGGCGTTGGACTATCATCTGAGTTTGTAAATACGTGCTTGAAATACCGCAACTCATTTGAATGGTGTTCAATAAAAAATACATTTCAACGAACGTCATGTTGCTGTTTTATTGCACTTGTAATATCACGCGAAGCGCGGTTGTGAAGTATAGCGCGCGCGACTCATATGTAAAAGCTTGGTCTGCTGGGCAAGTTGGTAGTGGACATTCATATTAGAAATAGCGCAAAAGAGACGGGACAAAAAGACGAAGAAGCACACAGGACAAACGCTAACTGGCAACTGAACTTTATTGAAAGCTTCCAACTTTGCTATCGCCATGCACGTGCTTAGTCTCATTCAACAGACAGGGCGTAGCGCCAAATCCGCACAATCAGACCGCCCACCGCCTGTTCCAAAAAGTCAGCAAAACAGCTACATCACCCCGCCCTGTCTGTTGAATGCGCTACGCCCTGTCTGTTGAATGAGACTAAGCACGTGCATGGCGATAGCAAAGTTGGAAGCTTTCAATAAAGTTTGGTTGCCAGTTAGCGTTTGTCCTGTGTGCTTCTTCGTCTTTTTGTCCCGTCTCTTTTGCGCTATTTTTAATATGAATGACGACTCATATGCTCGACCGGTGCCGTGCTGGCCGCTCGGAGCGGCCAGCACGGCACCGGTGGAGCATATGAGAAAACAATCGAGCAAACAAACCGAAAAAAGAAAAAAAATAAAGGAGGGGGGAGGGGGGACGGGGAGGAGGAGGAGGCAAGGAGTGCGCACGGAGTACGCAAACGACAGTGGTGGCACCATCTTGCCGTCTTTCGAGATCGAGCAACTTTCGTCTCACACCATACGTATGTTCGCCTTTCTGCCACTGGTGCCTTGTGGCGCTAGTTTCTCCTTACCACGGTGGAGGCTGGAGCTGCACTCGGCTGGTCAAACTCCACCCCTCGGCGTCGAAAAACCTACTCGCGTTAGAGTTATTCTCGATGATTCATGTAGCCTCATTGCCACGTGACCCAACCCGCAGGAGTAGCTGAAAAAAGCCGTCGAAAAAAGGAACGTGACGGACAACCAATGGGGATAAAAAAGGGAAAAAACGCGACGCCTCTTTTTTTTTCTTTAATCTTTTGTTTTTTGTTTGCGCCGCGTCAAGTGTAGAGGGAGAGGAAAAGTAAAAAAGCACGAGCATTGCAAAGATGCCAACTGTCAAGGAAAGCCTTGCGAAGAGACGCACTACCAGATCAGCCTACTTACGCAGACGCTCCTTGAAGAGAAAAAGGGAAGCGCTACGGCTGTAGATCTAGGTGCTCATGGTCTCAGTCGCCTAACATAAACATGGATATCGACAAAGGCTGAAATTGGTAAAGGTTAATGTATCAACAAATAGAATTTTGCTTGTTTTCTTCAGCTGTCCTTCCATCACGGCATTCAAATTCGTTTGTTACCATTTCATGGGATGGATAAAAGTGTATGATCTAATTAAATATGGTAATTCGAAAAATACAAATGTAACGTAAATGTCATGATACGTTACATTTTGTAAAAAGTAACAGAAACGAGTTCCTTTCTCACAGATAGAACGTGTAACGGTGACGCGTTCAAAACATCAGAAGGAACGAGGAAGAAGTTTACGTTCCTCTTTTTGAGGAACGTGTACAACACTAGTTCCGAATTACGAGCATGGGAATAACTTAGACTAATCTTCGGGTTTTTGCGTATTCAAATCATTGCATATACGGGGAACTAAAGATGTCTGAACGTGTTCCAAGATGCTAGCCCTTTTTTTCACTGTGAACATGGTACGTGCTAATGTTTCAAATGCCTAAATACACTTATATTTTAATTTTCTTTGCAAGTCAGTCTGAAACAGTTTACAGTGTTTTAGATTTGAGAAAGCGAATTTAAAAGCACTGCGAGAACCAAAAGTATGCAGGTGCCTTTAGTTCGTCCCCTAGTTCTTTTACGATCCCAGCAACCTAATGGTTTCCATGATACCAGGACTAGCCATGACCGCGTAACTCTCTCTTTCAAGCGATCGACGTCAATCAAGTGGACTGGTTGTTCTGGCAAGCTCGTTAAATTGTCATGCCGGAAGCAGAACAGGTCGACCAACTGTTTATTTTGTTATGTAAGTGTTGTTTTTTCCCCGGAGTTTCAAACCTTTTGGAGTGTGCAGTCATAATTGTACTATCAGAAAAAAATGAGACCTTGAACGCCGGAACGCGTGACCTTCTGTACATGGTGCACTACTTAGCGGCTGATAAAACTGCCGAGTGGAGAGGGGGCTGCGACGGTGTCTGCTTTCTCGTATGCGCGCACCCTCGCAGCCCCCGTTTCCACAGTTTTATCGGCTCCGGATGGCCCAGCATGCATCGAAGGCCACGCGTTTCGGGTGTTCACGTTTTATTTCGAGCTCAAAGTATATGTCCGCTTTATCAAAGTACAATATTGATATAAAGTTCAGGATATTGGCTGCCATTCTGAATGAAGCTCGGTGAAACTCCTCATCTCAGAGTTGCTGCTCCTGGAAGGACCAGCGATCGCAGCGGGAGGCTCAGTTCCTGTTCTCTTCGATCCAGGACAGGAAAGTGGTGACCCTGGTGAAGACCTCCGGAAAGCGACCGTCGCACCCGATGCCGAAGTTCACCACGCCCACCACGGACCAGCGTAGGTCGGCTCCAAGCGCCAGCAGAGGGCTGCCGGAGTCGCCCTGCGAGAGATGGCGGAAATCAGTAAAATAGTCGTAACATCGCTCGCGGGAGCAAAATACAAATAGTCCTTCTTCCTGGCTGCTTTCATACATGTAATAGGATCCTTCGCACGTCCCACTGCTAATGCGATGACATTTCGGACCCTGTGCATGCTGCACTGCAGACGGCAGTCGATGTTGCGACGTCATGTGACCTCGCATGACTGTGGCACATGCTATGGCGATATCGGACACTGCGTCATACGACGTCTACTCACAGATTCGTGGGACCTCACGTCATTGGACGTTAGGACGTGATGTTTGAAAAGTCACGGTTATGTGGCGCCATGCAACGTAACGTCACACTACATTGAAGTTTCAGGTGACGTTACGTCCTGTAACGCGCTGCCTTGTGGCGCGACAGTGCGTCAATTATGAACCGATTCGCGTTTTCCCGCGACATTTGGCTGTCGAGGTTCTTTCAAACGGACGGACACGATCTCATGACCTTAGAAACGCTGCCTCCTACCAGCACGCCAATCAATGAACAAAAAGTAGAAAAAACGAGTGTACGTCAATTTTTTTAGTAGCTTATCTCGATTTATCTTTTCACGCGCTGCTCATACTTTATAGGTTGCGAACCAACTCACACATGGCTCACTATTTAATTTTTTTCCGTTGAGTTATCAAATTTACAAATGACGCCGGTCGCGTAAGCTTCAGCAGGCGACTTTCTGCTGGCAACATTGAACAATCTCTGCTTTTTACTGCTCATGTAAGTCAGCTGTGCGAGTGCGGAAAGGCGACCCTAAAAGCCGCTTACGCCTTTCCGACTAGCTAGTGATCGGGAATTCTTTTCCAAAGCGTTAACGTCCAAATTTCCTCTGCGATGTTTAGCAATATGTGAGTCCGAGGTGGGCGGCACAATGAAATGCCAGAAAAGTCTGCACTTATTTTACTTTTTTACCCTTTGCTTTTGCATTTCGAGGCGGGGGCGGGGGACGCTTTGTGGTAGCAGTTTAATTTTATTTCATTTCACTTCAGTGACCTGAAGGGCGTCCGAAGAACGCATTACGTTATTAGGGGAGATTCAAAAGAAGTTACAGGGGTTAAAAAAAATAAAGATAGCAGAACTCGGAAAAGTGAAATGTGATCACAGATACACCCAATGTTGTCAATCAAAGCGAAACGAAGCAAGATTAAGATATGGTGCTAACCACGTGAAAGTGCTATAACGCGAGCCATGCCACGGATAAACCAGTGTCACATGAAACATTATCGCCTGCGCTCGGAATACTTCCCAGCCACGAGCTGCGAAAGGCGTGCCCTTCAGCAGTTGTAATTAGACAGTTTTAGTATAGCGTTGCTGGATCTTACGTACGCAATACGCAATAGTATAGCGTAGGCTAAAAATGACCTGCTCGGACCGAATTTAGTTGTGCGTTACGTTTTGGAGTAAACACCGCGCATGATCTTGGTTAAATTTGCTAGAGCCGTAGAATTCCGCGTGCTTATAGCGCAACCATGCTCCTGGAAAGAAATAGTGAAAAAGAAAAAGTGTCCAATCATTTTATTTAAGATAAAACCAAGCTACAACTGCCTCGTCAAGCGCTCCTTTCTGCGAGGTACAGAGGCTACGAGTACGAGTGCGTAGCCAAATTCGATCACGGAGCCTCCGTCAGTCGTCCCGTGGAAACGGCACCTTTTATCAATGCTATCGCGGAATGAAATTCATGACCCTGATGTCCAGTGCATAACGAGAACTTCGGCGATTTCTTTTAGAGTCGTTCGTCCGTCGGCGATGAACTATGGGAACAGGCTTAGCGTTGAGCAGATCGCAGCGTCGATGCACACTGCGAGCGGCGAACATTTCCACTGTGCACTCCTTCATCTGCAGGGCGATCTGATTCGAACGCGGTAGGTCCCCAAAAAAATCGCCGAGCTGAACACCACGCAATTTCACGTAACACAGAACTTCGAAAACACCACGTCGCCCTTGCTGCTCCAGTCGAGACAACCGCCATCTTGAACCTGGCGCTCTCGTTGGGTCCGAGATCTCTCGAGAGCGTCCCGCAAGGCCCACTAGCCAGCAACGCAAAATCCCCAGCGTTGCGTGCGTACGCAATACGCTAGCCCTTTTATTGCGTTCTGCGCATGCGCACTCACGACCCGCAATCTCCTTGCGTACGCAAAGCTATAGCGTGCGGTTCACTAAAACTGTCTATTGTTTGGAGAGTAGCAATCGCAGAATCGAGCCCGCTGTGTACCACGACCATTTCCGTCCAAAGTGGAGCGCTAATCAAATGGGACAAAAGACCTTATTCTATCACTAGTCGGCATGCGCAGTCGTATTTTTTTTGCTCATTGGCTTCAGCGGACATTCTTATTTTATACACACTTCAGTAGGGTGGTCTAACCAGTCAGCGTCGGCCAGCGGGAGCCGCAAGGGCCATCCAGTCATGACTACAGTCGGCGTTCCGATCATGCTGCAACGCCGGTCTGTCGAAGGCGAGAATTGAATAGCCTAATTATACGGAGTTCTAGTTTGCTTTTAGAAAAGCTTTTTTTTATATATTGCTCCTTGTTCCTTGTATCACTGAATTTTAGAGAACAGGTGCTGATCTCCGATATAGTTATGTTTTGAAAATGCATGTTTGGCAAATGGTTTGCTTGCCATTTGATCTCGCAATGCTGAAAACATCTCCATTTTATTCTGTCGCAAACAAATCTTAAAGAGGCCCGAAAAGATAATAAGACTAAATACGTGTGTAGAATCTTCTTAAGGGAGGTACATTTGATGGAGGATATGCAAGGAAAAATAATTAAAAAATAAAATCTGACATACCAAGATATCTACATTATACTCCTTTTTCCCATTTGCGCTTATGGCTGGGCGATTGAACGAGGTCTATTCTACTCAGGCATTTAAAAAAAAAAAAAAAGCATATGGGTTCGAATTTTCCTTCGGGTAACGTTTCGATGCTTTGTTAAATTTTCACAATTTTATATTTCAATCACCTACTTTAGGCACTAATGCATCTTCAAAACCCTTTTCTTACTTTAAGCTGTGATACCTTTTTTTAAATGCCTGTCATTGCATCGTAATGGCACGAAGAAGCCAGCTGGCCGTAAGGCGTGTATTTTCTTTCACCAGAGAGCCAGCGGAGCAGTGGCCCAGACCACGTCTTCGATCGACAGCGTGCTCACACGGCTCAGTTACAAGCCCGACCGCAAGCTCGAAAACTTCGAGGCCCGCTTTTAGAAAGACCGCCGCCCGGTTTAGTTAGAAGACTTTATTTACTGGCCGTTTTTTGTTATTTCATTTTATTCTACAAGGTGCAAATTGGTCTGCTCTTTGCGCACTTCGTGCGTTTGTTTATCATCCATATGACCCCGTGTGCTTTTGTTTCCCCCCAAACCTCAACCAACGATGGCGCTTACCTGGCCGCATCGTCATCGCGTGCTCCTTGCGGGTTCTCTATGTTGTTCTTCGTTTGTCGTGACTCTCGCAGCGCTTTTTGGGCACTTTCAAATTTTGTTTTTCCTACACTAACTCTGCACACCGCCTCTAGCCCTTTACTGCCGGTTGTCGCTAATTCGACACATACCGGCAGGACGCTCCCAGCGCCGCAGCGAAGTGTTGGCACGCCCAAATGCCGGTTGTCGCGTATTCGCCACAAACCCAGTTTTTCGCCACGGACGCGTAGCGCCATCTAGCGGCAGTGGTACAAAGTTATAACCGGTTTCGTCCGCCGCTTTACGAAAGAAGCAGAACACGTGCTACGGACCTTATTTCTTTGATCTTTTCTGGTAAACAAAGGTGAGTTTAGGTCTAAAACAAATTGCTTTTCTTCGTTTACATCCTAGAGATTACCCACAGCATATTGTGAGTTCACGACACGTGTTTCTTTTTCTATGATGGCCGGTTACATGGTCTGTCGCGAATTCGCGACATTCGGCATTTGATCCAGTGATAGTGTCATGATACAATAAGCGATGATTATTCATTTGATGAATTCTCTTCTTGTTTGATGGCAGATAATGAATCCTGGCGCCTTCTATGGACAGAAAACGCTTCGGACGCGCCTTCCACCTGAGGATAAAAGTGACGACAGTTGTCTTAGTGACAGCGATGAAGACGATCCAGACTACAACCTACCCACGCAAGGTGTTTCCCTAATGGCGTCAGAATCTAGTAGCGACGAAGATGACGAGTGTGGCACAGTGGCTGTGCGGGCTGCGCGCATCACAACTAACAAACAATCTGTTAAGTGGACAAAAACCAATTGTCGAGAACAGCACCAGATTCCATCGTGGAATGGTTCTTTGCCTCAAAGTGAGAGCGTTCGAACCCCGATTGAATATTTCAAGGAGTTCTTTGATGATGCGCTTTTCGAATACATCGTGGAGCAGAGCAACCTCTTTGCCATCCAGAAAAATCCTAACAAACCACTGGGTTTGACTCGTGCAGAGCTGGAGCAGTTCCTGGGCACAGTCACATTCATGTCCTTCTGTAGCCTCCCACGAACCGGCCTGAACTGGGCTGCTGAGAGCAGAATACCAACCATTGCTGACACAATGTCCCGTGACCGCTGGGAAGCAATTAAATCAAATTTACATTTCAACAACGATGAGACGCCCTCACCCAATGACCTGCGAAAGGATCGTCTCTTCAAGGTTCGGTCACTCCTTGATTCTCTCCTCCCGAAGTTTGAAGCTATTCCAAAGAACAAAGCTCTATGCGTGGACGAACAAATGGTGCCGTTTAAGGGCCGCTCAAGCCTCAAACAATATATTCCCAGCAAACCACACAAATCGGGTTATAAGATATTTCTGCTCTGTGATTCGCAAGGAATCGTACACTCCTTTGACATTTACACTGGGAAGATCGACGCTGTTCCTGGCGAACCAGACTTGGGTGCGTCTGGTAACGTGGTTCTCAAGCTGTGCAAGTTGATTCAGCCTGGCCTGAATCATCATCTATATTGTGACAACTGGTTCACATCTCTCAAGCTTTTCACTGCCCTGGCCAAGAAGGATGTTCACTGCCTTGGAACTGCGCGTGCAAGCCGTCTTCAAGGCTGTCCTTTGCCAAGCGATGCGGATCTCGAAAAGGCCGAGGCACCTTCGAAGAATTTTAGACGGTCATTGATGGCCAAAAAATCATAATTGTCAGGTGGTATGACAACCGCGCCGTGACAACAGCAAGCACCTTTGCAGGCGTTCAGTCAGTGGCATCTGTTGACAGGTGGGAACGCACGCAAAAACGGATTGTACAAGTCGACTGCCCAAGCTCGGTGCGTGCATATAACAAGCGCATGGGTGGTGTGGACCAAAACGATGCCCTCATTTCCTTCTACAGAATACACATCAGTTCCAAGAAATTTTACCTCAAGATTTTTTTTCATTTCATCGACATGGTGATTGTCGTGTCGTGGCTGCTTTACAGGCGCGACTGCGACTCACTAGCCATTCCAGCCCGACGGCAACTCGACCTTCAGAAGTTCAAGTTTTATATTGTCACATGTCTGCTGAAGCAGGGCAAGGACACCACCCCAAAGCGAAGAGGACGGCCGTCAACATCACTGGAAGCTCAGTTGGAAATGAAGAAGAAGAGAGGCCCGATGAAGCCCGTCCCAAAAGCGAGCATCCGCACGGACAACACAGCCCACTGGCCAGCTGTATACAGCGTGCGCCAGAGGTGCAAGCGACCTGGATGCAAAGGCCAGACAGTTGTCATGTGCACGAAATGCCAAGTGCACCTTTGTTTGAACAAGAATGTCAACTGCCTTCTTGATTTTCACCAACCTTAGGACGCTGTAAGAGAAGTGTTGCAGTGTCTCTTGAAAACCGAACATTTTCCTTTGCTTTTGAGGAGTTCTGGCACTCGAAATTACTCAAGAAATAAACTTTTTACTTGCGACTACCGCATTTAATATTTCCGGCTTAAGTGCCCATTGTCGCGAATTCGCGACATACCAAAAATTTCGCCCAAGAGTGTTTTTCTGCGCGAAACATGTATTGAATTCGATTACACGGGCTAAACGAAGCCAAAATGTTTCCTAAGAATTTTTTCTGGGGCGCCCTTGATAATCCAGGCATTAAAGGGCTAGAGTACACAGATGCAATGTATTCCTCCCAAAATTTCGAGCCATGTTTTTTTCGCGAGAAGATGGCAACCTTGTTATCGAAGAAACGCGAGTGAGAACGAACTGTTTTCCACATAGTTCGGGTTTGCCCCGCGGAGCTGGTCGGTGGCGCTAGCAGCCACGCGATTAATAGTGATCAGTCGGATGCATTTATCCTTATATTCGTGTAAATCCGCACCGAGAGCATTGTATGTGCCCTCAGCTTAGTGTCGTATTTATAGAGAAAAGGTTTATTAATATTTTACGCCATTCCACAACAATGCGTGAAAAGCAAATCGTACCGAGAACTGGGATGTCGCGAGCTTATTGAAGGTTGACCAGGTTCGATATCTTCAAGCTTCTAACAACAGGTTTGTCTAAAGTTAAGAGTAAGGTCCGGCTTTTCTTCGCAAACGCGAAAATTGAAAACGAGCTGACGCTACCGGGTGGAGAAATGGCGCAAGTATTTGTAATCTCAATTTTTTTGTCGACTCAAAAAAAAAAAAAGTTTTGCATGCAGATGCTTTAGAATATGTTGAATGCAACTTTAAGGGTTTGGTTATAACGTGTTTTTTTATATTTATAGGTCAATTAAGAAACTTTTGTTAGTCCATAAAACTTCAACTTTTTCGATTTTCATTTTTTTATATAAAATAGGTCTCGCACACCTTATTTTCGTTGTTCATTGCTCTGAGTGGTTAAAAGGGAGCGAAATAGTTTATTTTTCCTGGCTTTGTTATGTGCGTTGTCATGCGCGAACAACGTTTTGTTTTTCTTTTACATGTGCATTGCACATGGAACATAAAACGCTATGTCAAAACAAACACCTGATTTATGAAAAGAGGATAAAACACAATAAACTCTGAACATTTCATTAAGATTTCGTTAATAATATTACAACAAATGTTTTCGCCTGTCGAATGTCGCCTTAAGAATAGCGTTGTTCGCTTTTGTATTGCGTAAAAACTGGTAATGAATTTTAAAATAAAAGATAAAGTATTTTATACCCAATTTGTTTCCCAAAATTAGAAATGGTTGTGTAGCAGTCGTGCGACACTCTCCCTAGGTTGAACGTGGTCGAACTTGCCGAAAATTCAAAACATTTTCCGAATCAATCGAAGCTCGAGGTTCTAACTTTGAACGTCAAGTTCGGCAAAAGCTTATGACATACCAAGTAACAACTGATCCTTTATTCGAGACAGTAAATGTGCTGACGAGCTCCTTACTTGACAGGGGTGGTCACCAGTCTGATTGACAGCGCAGACGAAATCATTGGTGATGCCCTGAGAAACGGAGGACTTGTAGCTCGGAGACTTCTCCAGGGAATCGGCGCATTCCTCGTTGCTGATCACCCTGAGGCGGCCCTCCTTGAGTCTGTCGGAGTTCCGGCCGCCTAAAAAAAGCGGGAGATTGCACCGCGTGACTGAGCAGGGTTTGCATTTTTGCTCAATACGGAAACACCCGTAACAGAAATCACCGAGCCGATATTCTCGAAAATGAGGGAAAACTGAAGATGTCAAAATGCTCTTGATTAAGAAAAATAACAAGCTTCACGGGAAGAGATTAATAGCTGAGCCTTATTATGTGCTGAGCCGGAGTAGGTCCATCCCGAATGAACTCTTCGGGATGCTCCACTTCGGAAGCACAGCAGGCATCTTGTATTCTCTTATCGTCACCGCGTTGTCTTCCAAGTATTCGGGTCGCGCGAATGTTTCGTGGAGGTCGGAGATTTCAATACTTCTGGATCATTCTCTTCAATATAAGACCCATTAAGAAGGATCTGTACGGATCCTGAATTTCACACCGAAGAATGCCGATTCTGTGGGAAAAAAAAACCCCGAAAAAGAGCCCCCAGTTCCAGACAAAAAGAACCCCGAAAACACCAAACATTACACATAGTATAGTTTGACGCTCGCAGCATTAGAGTGCAGAGTTCAAAATCCAATTTTTCAGCCGTCATAGGATTGCCGTCGTGGTGAACGGCCGAAGCTGGCCCTACTGGCGATTACAGAGACCTACAGGGGGCGTGCTGGTCAGGGAGTTGTGATCGAAGCTTTTTAGCTGTGTCTGAGACGATGTTGCGTGCGTCCTTTTTTTCGTGACTCCGGTTTTATTATGTTTCCATTATTTGACTTCGTTTACAGGAACCTCCTTGTGAAATTTTTCGCACCCAGTGGAAATTTAGGTTCCGTTCCGCTGCTACAAAAAACGCCCAGCCAATGGGAATTTAGTTGCAGTTTTCCCCGGCTTCGCTCAATGAGACAGTTAATGCTTTCGCACAAAAATTATTAGAGACGGGTGGAAGACATTAACGACATTTGTGTGCCATCCAACAGAAAAAGCAGGGTAGGCAATCTCACACATCAAATTGACCTGTGCTTTTTTCATTTAAGAAGGAGAAATAATTTTGACATATGAATCTTTCATAACGTACTATGGGATATGGACCGTGTGGGAGCGCGTTTTCACGCTCCGAGGCAAAGCGCCTGCCTACGGATCCCCAGGTCGCGGGCTGGAAACCCTGTCGCGGTCTCTGATATCTGACGGATGCTTATTCCGGAAAAGGCGCCGTAAAATCAAGGTTTCAGTTTCATGTACAAAGATAGCCAGGTGGTCGAAATTAATTTTCAGTCCTCTGCTAAGGCATCGTTGGCTCAGTATGCAAATCCTCCAAATTTAAGATTTGGCTTCTAAACTAAGACACCTCGCTAACTGAATGTGAAAAAAAAAGACTAGAACGAATAGTTTAACCACTCTAGGAATAAGCTGGTAGGCGAGTATTTCCACGTGACTGCCGCGTTCCCCTTGAACGAGCATCCCTCTTCCCTGAACGACCGTACGTTGCCCTTCACAACCCCGTGTGCTCACCGAACTCGGTGTGTCCCCAGCCGAGGAACACCGCCTCTCCTCCAAGCTTAATGTCCGGCTGCGGCAGGCATGCCGGGCCGATGTGCGTGCCGTAAGTCACCTTGCCGTCCATTCGCAGGATGGCGATGTCTTTGTAGGGCCGGCCCACCTGGTAGTCTTTGTGCACGCGGATCCACTTGACGGGAAGCGTGGTGCTGTGATCACTCGCGGACTCCTCGGGGTGAAGCACGCCGAGCCGCACCGTGTAGTTTCTGACACTAAAGGGGGGGAAAAAAGAAGCTTAACCATGATGTTTCAATGCGTTTAATTGTTTATCGGCTGGTTTAGCCTGATAGAACAGAGGTGCTCAAAGTGGGGGTCGTGCCCCCGGGGGGCTGCGAGGCAACGTCTGGGGGTCGCAGAACAAGGAGAAAGTCAAGTCGCTGATGGCTTCGATACAGCTGTAAAGTAGTGTGTGTGTGTGGGGGGGGGAGGGCGGGTCTGGTTGCTCAATGGCGTTTGTGTATTTTTAGGGGTCGCGGGCTTGAACGTTTGCGCAACTCTTCTCCCGAACGCAACAGCAAAAACATTTCGTGAGAATGCTTTCTAGATAGATTTAGTGAAACTGTAAGGCGACCTTGCGTGTGTTTTAGCCAATTGAGCATGCGTAATAGCCCCCAAGTGAAAAATAGGACAATGCACATAAAAAAATGCCTAATATCACAGAACATTGAGCTATCATAATAACATCTGAAAGCAATAAATATTCCAAAAAGTCAGACGTTTAAACACGCACAACGCCTGCCGCGTGTCTCAACTCTACGCAAAGAATCAAGGTAAGTTTACGTTCCTCCTTCTTCCTTTTAACGGGGTCTCTCAGATTCTTAGCAAGCTGAATGTCAGTCCAAAAAATTACAAAAGGAGGTTTAGCATCGCCTTTACGAGTGCAACGCGATAGCTACATATAAACCCTCTCGCTCTCGAGCCCTGCAAGCGTGTCTGCGTGGCCTAGACGATAGGATGCCTACTCGCAACCGAAGGGTCGTGGGTTCGATCTGGCTCCGCCTAAAATTCTTCGATTTGTTTCTTTAAGGCAAATGAATTACTTAACTACCAATCCAGATCTTCCCATCCTGCCGAAGGCGGCTTTTTTGCGCAACGAGGTCTTTCAAGCTATCGCTTTAAAGTACCCCCTATTTAAAAGCTGGCTATGAGGCGCACTATGATTTTTTTGTGTGTGTTTTGACCAAAACTTCGAACGTTTTTTAGGGGTTTTGAGATGTTCGTCGAAGTTTTCTAATGGGCCTAGTGTCCAAGAGACCCGTCATAGTTGGTTGAGAGGCCTATTTTATTTGATTATGACTCAAAATCGACCGAACACACCAACGAACATCGCTGAAATAATATTCCAAACATTAGGCCAGAAAATGTTTTTGACAAATTTGTGATGTGATTTTGTGATTCTCAACTGTAATAACCAAAAGTTACAATTTTGGCCATGGCAGTTTTTTTTCTTTTTTTTCTTTCTTCAAACTCAAAAGTTTTTATTGGCAAATATATTTAAAGGTGACGCCAGCAGACGGCCGGGATTGCCTGTTTGTAAAATAAAATGTATTTCCAAGGGATTAGAAGCTGTTTAATGGCGTCAAATGAAGACTTTAGAAGTTGGTTATGGTTGGCATTATCTTCATTTGCCGATTTCATGACAACTATTCCGAATTTTGCTACTCCAAATAGCATACTGATAATGCAATTCATGCAAAGCTGCAAGCGAGCTGGACAAAAACGACGAAGATAATCCCTAGAGACGGGAAATAAGGGGGACGAAGACAAGCATAAACATCCAAAAACAGCTAGGTGACTGGTGCGCGACCGAAGAAATACGCCTGGTTCTGGTATCGAACCAGAAAAGGGTAAAGGCTGGAGATTGAAAAAACATCGTTGGGGTAGCTCGAAATATTGCCGACTACAGCTTTGAGCATCCTCAGTCGTAAGCAGTGGCAAGTTTCAGAAACTGCTTTTAGTCGACCTTTGCTAGCCTTTCTATTGACTTCGAGATGGCGTCACCTTTGAGGGATGATAAGTGCAGGAGAGGGGTCGCCGCATGCCCTACGGTTATTAGTGTTTGTTTTTTCCTTCATAAAAGCGGTGTGCGGTACACTATATCCTGCCCAATTTCGATCGACGGACTGAATTTTGTAGACAATAAACTTTTGAATGCCACACCTGACTCATTTCTTAATCCTATTGAAATTTAGCTGAAAAAACGTAGTAGAAGATGGAAAACTTAGAAGAAAATGACAGAAGAAAAGGAACGGTTCAATATCAACTACTCTGTCTATTTCCTCAATTTTTTTTTTGTATATAGTTACAAATTTAACTTCGATCACCAACGTCACAGCACCATTATTTGCTACAGAATTTACCTAACACTTCTTAAACAGTCTGAAACATTCAAGGTCATTGTGCTTTACCCCACTTTCGGGTAATTTTCAGCATGATCAACATCCACCAGCTCTCCTGCACGCTCGCTGTATTTTCGTTAATCCTTGAGGCTTTTCGGGTGCCCGGGGCTTCAGCGGACAAACTTGTCACATGAGTAGACTAGATCTTGTCCAGAAATCGGAGGACAAAAGCTAAGCTGAATCATACTTACTCGGGTTCGGTTCCTCCCAAGCACTGAGCTGCCGTGAGCACTGTATCCCTGTCCAGCAGGGTTCCTCCGCATACATACTTGCTACCCTGGAAGATGGCCACCTGCAGCACGGGAGAAAATATTTGTTGGGTTATTTATTTAAGCAACCCAAAATAAATACTTCTTTAAAGAAAGGCAAATGAATCTTATGCCAAAAGCAACAAGTCAACTTTCCCGCATCCGCCAGCGAGTTGACGTCATATGTTATATACCTCGCAAGTCGAGGAGGTAGTCTTAAACAGAAAAGGCTGTATTTTACGCGTTGTTTTACATTTTGCTGGCGCGAGCGTTTCCATAATTCATTTCACGCCATCAGCGTCTTGTAACACGTTGCGAGCACGCTGTACTATCCTCATTTTACAACAATTGACATCAGGTCTGCAGTGTTGCCAGTAGAACCCCTAAGCCCCTCAAGCTAAATTTAAAATTTCAATACATTCGCAAAAAACCATGTTTTTACTCGTGATTCGAGTTACTAGTTCAGATATGTTTATTAGTACATTCAACCAATTTCGAGGTAAAGCAGTGACCTTAAAAACAAGGTTCTCAGAAAGGGCGTTCGCCATCCTTGATGATTCAAACTTTCAGGATACCAGTTCACTGCGGTATCGGGCAACATTCTCAAAATTCTGGTGCCTCCCTCGTCATGCCCTTGGAAGAGACAACCGCAACAGATTAGGGAAAGAGTTGAGCGAATGATGTGGTAAAATATATTTATACCTAGAAGACGCTGTCGCACTGATCATGACATAAGCACGTTAAACATCGCACTAAGTGCCACAGCGCAGACTGTTTCTTTTTAAGTGTAAACGTATTTTCATCAGTTTCATTCTACGAGCTCCCTCCATTGATTGCATTGATTAGCACTCCCAAGGATTTTGCGGACAATTAGACACACCGCATATTTTAGGGTGTAGGATTGCTTTGGGTGTGTCTTGTGCACCGGCCTTTCTCGAGTAATTATGATTGCGGGCGTATGACTTTAATCACACGTAGACCCCCTGGGCAATGAAGTTTTGTTTGACAGGTGGCGCCATTTTAAGGCGCATTCACACTGTGAAAAAACGCACGACAAGGGGTGAGCTTTTTTGCTTGTTCTGAATTGAAAAACGTAGCACGTCGTGCAGGGCGACGCCGGGAGACGAGGTCTCCGGACCCAATGTCAATGTTTCGTTCGACGCCCGCGCTTGAGCCAAACAGCGAGCGACCGGACGTGATGTGTAATCTTTTTTGCGGTTAGGTTCCGTTTTTGCTGGTTTTCTCTTGCATCCACAATGAAGGCGGAAGACAGAGGGGTCCATATATGCGCGAATGCCAAGTCGTCAAACGTGCCTAGAAGCATTTCAGGGTGGACAAAAGCAAGTCGATTGGAACGAATGACTGTGAGCAATGTTTTCTGTGCGCGTACGACGCAGCGAAACTACTTTTTATCGTTTAACTAAAAGCCGCCTTCGAAAGACAAACTTGCAGTGTGTTCCAACTGCGCGAGAGCTAGGGATCAACCCCAATGTGTTTTGTGCATTCCTTATGTGCACGCCAACACTACGAAATAAAGCAGTCACATTCCAAAACACAGTCGCACAACCTGCGTGCAGTGCTGTCCAACGTATGGACGCCAGGGGCGTAGCAACGTGCTAAGCTTTGTTTGCACAACAACGCGCCAATAGAACACCTCTGAAGATGCGCGCTCGAATTCGTACATCTCACGCATGCTGCGTACAAGTGAAGTATGAACGTTTATAAAATCAACGCCGTTGTCCGTTGACTGAAGACCTGTCTTCGTGCGCACATGCAATCGCGAAGACGAGGCAGCAACAATCGCACGAAGCGGACGAATAAAAAATTCCGCTTTCTCTCGACAAACACAATGTTCCACGAGAAGACGCCGACGTTGGGTGGAGCTGCGTGCCTGCCCCGTTTTTTTGTTTTTTTTTTTCGACGGCGGCGTCGACGTTGTTCAAAACGCGCTTTTTTTCTTTCTCTTTGTAAATGCGCTTTTAAGCGTGATTTTAGAAACTTAGAAAGAGTCAAAGGTCGCAATCATTAGGCCCGATCTCGAATTCAAACGTCCAAGTGACGCAGAGCTCGCGTCAATCGTTCGGGGCTGAGACCTTCCCAAGGTTGCCAGTTTCGGCCATTAGCCGCGCTAACTACCATCTACCGAGGCACCTCCTGTTCAATCTCCTGGGGCCATAGTCAATGAGAGCTTAAGAAACGCAGGGAGTGACTTGTTATGTTGATGCATATTCGTCGTGAGTCGTTCTCTGTGTTTCTATCGGAACTCGCAAAGCCACGCGTTTCTGCAGTTTGGTCTGATTAACTACAACCACTAAAGCAATCTATAGGGGCCACCGCTATCAGGCTCATCTGGCGGCCTAAAACAGGTCCTGCCGCGCCATGTGCCAGTTCAATGCACAACGCTCGGGTCTTAGCAGGCAAACATTGGACTCAGCATCGTACCCCCCCCCCCCCCCCCCTCTATTCACTACGGTTCAAACCTGCGGCAATGTGCTGGCGTAAGCGAGCTTGAGGGGATTGATTTTCTTCGAGAAAGTGACGGAACGACTGCCTACTGTCCTTCTATGGTGCTGATGAACGTTGATAAACGCCAAACGACTTTTTCACGTGGCCTGGGCAGCACGCTGATACTACAATAACGGCAGAGCCACCGGGGAACTGTTCCATCGCGCCAACGGCCGACAACATGTTATCCCGGAAGCCAAACGAGACGATAAGATATCGCGAAAGGACTTTTTCCGTCCAGTTCTGTATTGTTCGGCTAGGTGCCGTCCGTTTCGCTGAAGCGGTGATTACTCCGTTTTACACTACATTCGAGCGCCGCCAACGCAGCTATACACCATTCCGAAATCTACAAGTCTTCAGCCCCGCCTGCGATCTCATCAGCCCAGCACGCGCATATTCGTGGCTAAAGGGGTATCCACACGAAGGAGAAATCCGCTCCTTTCCTCCGCGGAGCGCGCATCACGTGAGACATACGTCATCCCTTTTTGACGCCTCGTGGCGCCGTTCCTCGTTCTCCTCCGTGGCGGAGGTGCGGAGGCTTCGTACACTTAGCATGAGAACTCCGCAAGTGCGCGCGGCGGAGCCGGGGACGGAGTTTCCCGGGTTGCTGACGTCACGACATCCGTCCGCGGAGTTCTCCTTCGTGTGGATACCCCTTATGGAAAGCGAGCAAATCACGCGCCATACGCACGAGCACTAAAAAGAAAATCTGCCGGGAAATTCTCTTAATCCGAAAGCATTACCTGTCCCAAGCAGAGAACCGACGTCATCAGCTTCTGAAGCCACGCCAAACGGCACCTAAACTCCCCTCTCCGAATGAAGCGCAGCCTGCCGTCTGTAGCAGCGATCTGATAGATAGGCTCCCATTGGCTGGCACGCGTCACACTTTGAAGGAGTGAGGCTTCCATTGGCTCTCCCGCGGCGTAGTTCCAAGGAGAGCAACCAGAGAAGTCCTCTCCCTGGCGGCGCAGTGCACGCAGCAGCCCGGCCGCCGGTAAGAGGTGTGAGCCTGGCCGCAAAACCCGCACGGGCAAACTCCGGAGAGGTTGCACGGCCGAGCTCAGCGCGGCGCGGCCACTTCACAAGAGAGCGCGCTCAGCCGTCGGCCGCTACCTCGGCAGTAGTGAAACGTGGCCGTCCACGCCACTGCGCCGCAGACGAACTAAGGGAGCGGAAGAACGACATTCATGCTTTCGCATTCACAACTCATATGAAGTGCTTAGGTGTCCTCGGATTTTTTTTTTTTTTAAGTCTCTACTAGGGGACCACCTTTTTAGACGAGGCATTCAAAGTGAATGCCACGGCTGTCGATCCTTTCACATTTTTAGCGTTGATCGAAGTTGTGCGTGCGATTCCCTTCTTTCCTCTAAAATGCCAAGAAAAGTTGTCCCCCCGTGTATCCAACGACGCCAGTCAAGCGGCGCGAAAAACGCCACTGCGCTCGTCCTTGCGCATTTCTCACTCGCTGAACCAATCATGCGTGGTCAATGCGCTGTGGTCCAGCGAGTTTGCCTCTGCGTGATTCGTTGAGCCGGTGAAAGCACAGCGTCCTTCTCGAGGAGGAGCCAATCCGGCGCGAGCGGCGCCGCCATGCCGCGTACCGGCTATCGTTTAGAAATACGTGGCCAGGCCTTGATGAATCGCCTCCGTCGGATTGTGGCGTCGGCACCGCTGGGACTTTCTGTGAAGTAGGATAGTTTGGCGGGTCAAAATGTACGTAGTGAAGGCGCAGCTTTTTCCCCGCGTCGTAACGTGACAAAGAATGATGTGATTTTGATTTGCAACTTACGTCTTCCGTGATAACCTCGTAGAGAGAGTAAAAAAATAAGTGTATGAAGGTTTTTATAGTTGCACATAGTATCGTTTTAATTTTCACACACATTTTCGCAAAAACTTCGCGCAAGTTTACACGAAATATTTAATTACGTATTAAACGAGATATTGGTATTTGATGGCACCAGAAACATTTGACACTTTGAGCTTCGAGCCTATCTTCATATCTACGGCAATGTATTTTTTTTATTTTATTTTAATGAACAATAAGGATCTACACATGACAATAATTTAGCCTCCTTGGTGTAATCAAACTGCTGGCGAACATTTCCGAGACTCTCCCCATTCTCTGAACCTAAGCGTCGTTAAAATGTACGAGGACTAGATCATTTCAAATAATGTTAGCTCTTGCACATTTTGTCTCGTGCTTATGGGTATACAGTTTTAAAATCATGGTGTAATGGACATATTTATATTTATACGAACGTTGATGTTTCTGCTGTGTGTGTGTTGGTGTTTGTGCCATTACGAACGATTTGCTGATAGCCTTTCCCTTACAAAAACTTCATATCTGGCCAGATCTGAAGATTTCAGATATGGCCATATCAAAAATTGGCCACATATAACCTGATATGGTATATCTGCCAGATATAGCCTCGTAATGTCAGATATAGTCTCATATCCCTGACCAAGTACGGAAATCCCAGATCTGGCTAAGTATGGAAATTCAAGATCTGGCCAGGCATATCAAAAGGACTCAAGCCTG